AAAAAAAAAAAAAAAAAAAAAGAAAAAACACCGATATAATCAAGTTCTCCATCGCAAAAAACTAATCACGGAAAATTCCTAGGAAAAAACAATTTTCGATCGAAAAACACGGAATTTTCGGCCACGAAAGAGAGAGAGAGAGAGAGAGAGAGAGGGCAGTCACTCTCGGTTAATTCCGTTCTCGTTAATTTTCGACGGGGTCTGGGAATTTAATAACCGTGGAAGGGAACGCGGAGCTTTCGGTGCTATCGTTGCCAATGAAAGCTCGCCGGAAAGTGCTTTGTGCTTTGCGCCCGATCAGGCAAAATTCACGCACCGGGCTTGCCCCGCGTTTGAAACTCAATCTTCGATCGGTGTCATGGCAGTTGTGCCGCGTGTCTTCGAATTATGCACGCGGTGGCGAATTAGTCGTGACGTATTCATGCACCTGCGTCACCCTGGCTACTGCCGCACCGATCGATCAGATTTATAGGATTCCGCACCCCCTCAGGTTTCTCCAACGCTCGTATTAAACTGCGTGCTCGTATCTCGCATGCGGCACGAGAACCAATTATCGAGAATACTGTTCGATCTATCGTCAATTCAACAATTCTCAACAATTTTGTTTATCTGCGAATTATCGTTCCGTTTGAATATTTTTTGGCACGATTTCGCAGGAGGACTGAGGCTTTCGTAGTTCCCGAAATTCGTCTAAGAGTAATATTTATCGTCGCTTGAAAACGTATAAAATTCTACAGGGTCAAAGATCTACTTCCTCACTAAAATAAATCCTAAAACACTAAAATAAATAATTTTGCTTGCTACGTATCTCTTTTCAACATTTGAAGGAAATAAGTTTTAAAACATAACGGAAGAAATCATCGTTTGAACTTAGGTTTAATTAAATTTAATTTTAATTAAATTTAAATTTAAATTTAATAAAATTGATAAAATTAGTTTTTTTCTTCTTGTATCTTGATGTTTCTTTTATTAAAAGAAGAAATAGATGGAAAGAAATTTTCTGGCCCACCCTGCATTTAAATTTTCCAGGGTGATTTCATCGATGTTTTGCGATGCTTTTTCAATTCGAATTCCCCAGGGTTTAGGTGAAATAGTTCAGTTAGAGCAATCGAAACGTTATATGATCGAGATTCTGTTTTCTTCCTGTTGATTTCCTTTGCTGGCCCGTGCATCTTCCTGCCGATCGACTAATTCAGTTTCGGATCGCTGGCCATACAACGGTATACGTACGAAGAAGCAAAAAATGCTTCCGGCAAAGAGGAGATTTTTCCTTTTTATCTGCACTTCTTCTCTTACTCTTCGCTTCCTCTTTTCCTTTTACAATTGTTCTCTCGTATATTTAGAGCGTGATCTTCTTAGACATAACGCAGAGCGATATGCCACGTTAAATCTTACCTCAAGTTAAAATATTTTATCTTAAATGGTTGAATGTTTGAGCTCGATTTGTAGATTTTTAATTTTCGAACTCTGAATCTAAATTATTCGCAATGGTGATTTTTTAATTAATGATAGATTTCACTTTTTATAGATTAATTTCTATTTCTTACTAGGATATAGCTTAAATAGAAGATCACTTTATATTAAATTTTGTGTCACGTGTCTTCCACGTACTTTTTGATTATATGTAATGTAAAAATACTATAATATGTAAAATTTTTCAAACAATATTTTTAAATAGCGTTAAATTGGTATTATTATTATCATATAATTTAAATAGGAAACCACTTTGTGTGAAATTTTATGTCACGTTTTTCTACACATGTAATTTTAGTTACATATGATTTCTACAAATAATATTTTTACATAGCGTTAAATGTTAAACTTGTTTACATAGTGTTAAATCCGTTGGGCATAAAACACGAATCCCCCGTGAACGATCTTATAATCTAAAGATCTCGTCATTTAGAGTTAGACACTTGCTAAATAAAAGCAATACTCTTCTACCATCCGAAGATTCAGTTTTTCGTCATCGCGTCAGTTTTATTTAATATAATTTCGATTTAAATCAATTTTAATCAAATATTCTCGCATTTAGGAGAAGTGCAAGTGTAGTAGATTTCTAAGAAATCTCGAAAAAGAGAAACACACGTTCCCCTTTGAACGTGAGGCGTATCAATCTTCTCCGACCGTGGGATGAAATCCTATATCGGTGAAGCGTCGTTAATTTTATTATCACAGCCAGTGGGACGTGTTCTGAAACGAATGCAGAGGCCGAACAAGTTCTCTTCCAACTTCTTTCTTTTTCTTCTTTTTCTTTTGGGCGAGTTCCCCGTTTTGGTTCGTGGTAAGCCCAGGTAATCGAGTTTTTCGTCCACGCTGATTAGATCGTCGCGACAAAAACTCGCGTATCCGATAACTGTGATTTATCCATCTGCTCGCGCGGCGAGGTGTAT